CGGCAAGGCTCCACACAATCCCGTCACGCTAGCAGGCAGTCTAACATCCTCAACAAAGATGACACACTAAACAATAAGCTATTATAGGGTTTAGGGTTTGAGCCCCAAAACTCAAGAGGAGTCCTGAAACGCTTGGGGTGTTAAGTTTACCTATTGTGGTCATATCCTACCCTTTGTTGAAGCTAATATAGGGGCCTTTATAATTAGAGTAGGGTTCGGGCCTCCTTTATACTCACATGGAACCTTAAGCATACTATTGGTACTTGTCTAGGCTTCCATATTACCTGCTTTGCTATACAACAAGTCCTCGCGGTAAAACTCGGTAACCTGAATAAGGAACGGGTATGAGCCTCTGGGTATCGTTCAGAGTTGAGGCCTTTGTTAGGTCATCCTGGGCTTCACAATCGTTTAGGGTGCAAAACAGTGTCCAAATTGGGGGCCTGCTTATTGTCTGCGACACCCTGACCCACAGGTTGCCACAAGAGGGGGCCGTCAGGCTTCTGGGCGCGAGGCTAGGGAAGGGTTGAATGGGGAGGGGTGGTCGGGGGGGGTGCGGGATTCAGGGAAGTGGTGGGGAGGTGAAAGCAGAGGCGTCGGAAGGGGAGAGGGTACGAGGCAGAGGGTGGGAGAGGGGAAGAGGGCAGGGGGTCTGAACAAGGTCAGAGGGAGAAGTCGGGGTCGGGCGGTCGGGAAATGGATTGGGAATTGTATGGATTATGATGGGTGGGGAGTGTCTGACCACGAAAACCGTAACCAGATGCTCTGTGCTGGCTTTGCTGGTGCCGGGATCCTTGAAATCTATCCCCGCACCCATCCGGAACACATTTCTGCTGCCGTTTAGCACAAAGATCCCAAATATGGCCAAACAATGAGCCACCGATTCTGGGGGTGAAAATGGTCCCGCATCGGTGTTTTGTGGCACCTCCTCCTTCTCCTACTTCAGGCCGCAGCTGTCGTTCTACGTGTCCAGTCAGTGCTGAAGACTCGCGAGGCAATCTGAATTGGCAGGTAGCTCTGACTACTTGGAGGATCATGGGACTTAGTAAGTAAGGTTATAAGTCCCTTAATTGGGGTTACAAGCATAGTTACCCTTAGCCCTACTTACTAAGTCCCATGATCCTTTAAGTATCCTGCGTGCCCGCCCTTGTAGGCACTCTCTCCTCCCAGGCATTCGAAACGAGCCCAAGAACCAGCAAGACTCAAAACAAAAAACAAGAACCCATGGCCCTAACGATAACCCTGAGCACAAAGCCTGGAATCAAAGCTTCGGATTGCACCGAGCGACGTTGAGGAATGTGATGATTCCGATGACCGCGCTCGTCAGCCTCACAGGAAAGGCAGGTCTAAGCAGCCGTATAGATTAGGTTTAGGGGCGTAAGCCGTAGGAGTTAGGGGGTTCCAGGATTTCGGGAAGGTGCGAGAATAACTCCAAAAAATCAGACTGCAAACCGGGTCAACCTTTCAACTCCAAAGGCTCGAAAACTTTCATTCGAGCTAATCCTGTCTCATTGTCCCAGATATTTGCCACCCCCGAAAATCTGCACGAAGCTGTGCTAACTGAAGCGACAGAGAGATAGAGAGAGAGAGAGAGGGAGCGGACTAGAGTGTAGATGCGCATCCATCCCTCTATCCATCCGTCCATCCGTCCGTGTCTGTCAGTCTTTCTCTGTGTGTCTGTGTTCGTGTGTGTACGTGTGTACGTGTGTACGTATGTACGTCTGTACGTGTGTGTGTGTGTGTGTGCGTGCGTCTGTGTGTGTGTGTGTGATTGTGTGTGTGCGTGCGCGTGCGCCTGCGCGTGCGCGTGTGGGTGGGGGGTGGGAGTGGGCGTGCATGGGTGGGTGGCTGGGCGCGTGGGTGGGTGTGGCGGGCAGCGGCCGGACCTTGCGGGACAACGCAATGGGGCGTGTCGGGAAGAGTGGCGGGCGGCTGCCGGTGGGGGGACGGGGGCGGGCAGGGGCGCACACGTGGGGTTTTCAACTCGGTCCCTCGCCTGCATATAGATGCAATCCATGGCTCAAGTTTAATGGGATCCAGCTTTGGATTAAATTCCCAGATTCTCGAAGTTTTTCTTCGGCCACCGGCCACCAGTCTGTGTACGGAGCAGTACATATCCCAACATAACTGAACATGTACCTGTTTTTACAAACAAACATACATACATACATACATATGTACATACATACATACATACATACATACATACATACATGCATGCATACATACATACATGCATACATGCATACATGGCTACCTACCTACCTACCTACCTACCTACCTACCTACCTACCTACCTACCTACCTACCCACCAACCTACCTACCTACCTACCTACCTACCTACCTACCCACCTACCTACCTACCTACCTACCTACC